AAGTACGAAGGGAAGAGATTGATGCCCCGTGCGTCGGACCTCCACTGTGCAGGAATCCGGTTTGTTTCTGGGTCGGATGCATTCAATATCGGGTTCAATGATGGTGATGGTCCGCTTGGGTGGTTCCGTGGGCCACGCTTCCAAATCCCTATTCGGTGCACGGAGCACACAGAGTCATTCCTCAGAAACCTCGTTGCCTTCGAGCAGTGCTGCCCTGATATTCCTCCCTACTTCACGTCGTACGCGTACCTCATGGACGCCCTCATAGACAGTGCGATAGACGTGGAAGTGCTTGAAGGTGCAGGAGTTATGGACAATTATTTGGAAACGAGCGATGATGCGGCTAATCTCTTCAATAGTCTGCGCAACGAAGTTGTGCTCGACAGGGACAAGTTCTATTTCGCCAGCATATGTTCGAAAGCTAGCGTATGCAACAAGCGGCCCTGGGCGACGGTTCGCCGGTGGCCGGCGTCTCTGGGGTTGCACGTGAAGCGAACCTATCTATCAACTCCGTGGGCCTTCATTGGCTTCTTCCTTGCCTTCCTCACCACTGGTTTAACAATCGCCAACTTTGTCCTCCGTTTCGTAGATGTGTGATGATCTCAAGTGTGGATCTGTTTTGCGTTGGTTAGATTAATCTCCCACTAGTGAGCAGTAATATTTTTAAAAATTGAATTTCTAACTAAATTTATATATTTAAATAAATTCAGAATGTTTGAACATGCTATCTAGAATTAATAACGCAAGCCTTTCTCCATACCTCTGTCATTTAAAGTGGAATTGGAGCTGGAGCTCCGGCTAATTTCAGATGTTTCAAGTGTCTCTCAATAGATATGGAAATAGGAGCCTACAAAACCCTTGATATTTTCAACGTTTCCCTCAAATCCATCGACCTCTGATGCGCTCATGTAACAACAGTTCTCTCAAATTCATTGGCCGCAGAATTTAAAAATGTAATATTTCCACCCTTTTTTAACTTTACTTATGGACGCGACACGCTAATAAACGCAGAGAAAGATGTCAAAGGTGCTTAAGAAAGCCGGAGTGGTGTATAATCACTTGGTTGCCCCTGAAGAGGCCTCTCAACTCTTCAACAGACTCTGCACGGAGATTGTCTTGGGGGATTTCTGCCTTCCGGGAGGCTTCATCGGAAGCCGCCAAGTACAGCAAGGGCGGCGGCCGGCCTTCTTGGCCTACCGGAGGCAGGATTATTTTTCTGCGCCCTGGACGTTAATGGCTTTCACTCGTGCCTTCATCACCGCTGGAAGCATTATTACTGGCTTCATCCACAGCTTCGTTCCGTCGTGAATGGAGATAATGGTCAACACTTTGCAGGGCTGGGGCTTATCACTACACTTAAAGATTACCTAGTATAAGCCTAGTGATATATATATATATATATATATATATATTCCTTTTTTCGTTATTTCTTTGTCAGTTATCTATAGCTTATGATCTCTGCTAGATTTTCACATTTGAACCATAAGATTCGATTCGCGCATCTTGGACCTTCAAAATTTGTAGGAAGATCAAATTTGCAGGTTCTGTTCTAACAACCGTGAAGATCAATTACTCATCCGAAGGATGCTTTAACTTTTTTTGGTTGTTGATCAAGGTTTATAGTTTCAGACCAAAGTATAGGGAACAGAAAATAGAAAAATACAATTCTCCAGTCCTCAAGAATTAGAGCATGCAAATTTCAATCTAAATGGCTCGTAGAATTTCCTTGTCTTACAAAGGCCCAACATAAACAAAAGAAAAGAGTTGAAAGCCGTGTTTCTTTAGCTGGTTTAAGAACTATGTGATTCATGAATGACATAATGGTTACAGATTAATCTTTATATTATGCTTCCCTCTTCAATTCTCATTCTGCCACTTTCCCTATCCCAAAGGTGTACCCCCTAAGTGATAAGCCTGCCTTAATTCTCAGCCGAAGAAGCCTAAATTCTGTCCACTTTTGAGCGTGTTACATTCTCAGCCTTCTTAAAATAGGCAGAAATCCTAACCCAATTAACTGGATAAATTGCCCTTTGTGGCAAATTGTGAAATGGAACTCCCTACCTTTTTCTAACTTTAAACCTTTACCGACCGCAGGTAAGATCCATTATGCGTCTTGTTCCCATCAAAACTAGAAGCAAATTCCTCCATGAACATTCATAGCAGAGGATGGTTCTTGTCAAAAACCAAAACTACATTGTTCAATCTAGTCCATGTCCCACATGAGTCCAAACCTGAAAGATCTTTAAGAAAAATGAAGTCTGCATCAGTACATACACCTCCATACTTTGCACGGCATAGCTAATCTTATAATGTTTGAGAGTTTGTGAGCTAGTCAAAGCCTCCGCGGACCCTTTTGCCCACTCTTCATCTGTTGAAACCAATCTTGGGCCGGCGTGTTATTGAACAGAGAGAGGAGATTCAGTATTGGTGGCGACTACTCTGTTGCCGCAGTCAACCAGTGGTTTCAAAATCGTGCACCCGCATTTCGAGCCCAAAGTCCTCGAGTAGATCATCATGCATCGGCGAGGCTGACAAGAATGCCCTCCTGCGGAAAAGTATTTGCCGGGGATGTCCACGTCATGAAGGATTGCCCCTGCATTCTGGCCGAAGACCGACTTATGCGCACTATAAATTGCTGAGTCGAATTGGTTGACTTGAAAAATTCTATCTCCGGCAACTTCTGCCTGACCCTGCTTATTATGCAATAATCTATCTATCCTCCTCGTTTTTGGGTATACGGGCGAAGCTTTATTTCCTTTTCTTTATTGAACTTTGGGGTTGAGATTAAAGGTCTGTCTCTGCAGAAATACACCCAATATCTGGACTAGCAGCCTTGATCTGTTACAGATGGCACCTTGTCTTTCAGATCAAAATAGCATGCCAGGAGATACTTGAGTGCAGTTGCAGAAATTTGAAACATGAAACTTTCATAGTCTAATCAATTTGTCCTATAATCAAATTGATAGAACTAAGAATATTTCCATATTCTACCATCCGAATCAAAACTCTGGATCATTTCCTTCTACCTGTTTTGGATTTCTTGCATGTTTGAGACTTAAATATCTGCCGTGTTCCTCATTCTTGCCATGATTGAAGAAGAAAATGCAGAGCTACAACCAACATCTACATAATCCCGCCAATTAATGCAAAATTGAGGGAAAATATGTAAATAGGAGGAGCTAAAGTTGGTGAAGGAAAATGCTACAGCAGATGGCTGATTGTTCTAGTAGGAGAGAGGACTAATGCTGTCAATTATGGCTGCTTAGCCAAGAATTTTCGATGCATTTGAGAATAGCTGATGGCAACATTCTAATAAGGGCAGAGAAATAAGCAAACCGAAAAATTTATTCGTTGTTTTATTCTCTCTCTTCTGGAATAATGTCAATATTTTCAACTTTAGTGGGGTTCTTGTTTCTGCCTCCAGAACAGTTCCGTAGAAGAGAAAGACATTGCAAAGATTGAAGATGTCCAAACTTTGACTCATTCTTCAGAGTTTATTAATGCCACTTACAAAAAGTAGTCTTTCTGTTGGAACCAATTGAGAGCAAAATATGGGGCCTGGAATGTTTTAGTGTTTTTGGTGAAACCATTTGAGAGCATAAAGCAAAAAGTCAGAGAAAAGGCAAACTAAAGTTAAAGCATGGAATAGGACGGATGCTTCAGAAAAAACTTTTTTTTTAGTGGAGACATATCAATTACCATTGCATAATTATGAATTTAAGAACTTATTAATTGATGAAACTTTTGTTGCTTATTTCCAAAGATAACTAAACGACTTTGGTGTTGTTTATTTCGACTAGGATGTTAAGGCCATTCTTATTCAGAACCAAGAAAGGACATAAAATGAATAGCTAGGCCAGGAAGAACCTGTTGCCAAACACTCTGCATATCCATTACTTTATTAGTAATAGCTCATTCTTGGAATGTGCTAATGTATTCTAATGTTATCTTTTCTTACACAAATCAACTTTAGCACAAACAGCTGAAACTACAGATGAGACTCACTGTTGCCGGCTTTGCCATTTTTTGACGAGTAAAATCCTTCTCAAATTCCTCCCATAGCCTTCGTAGTTATCAACACTTTTTTAGAAAGCAATGGCTTCAGAGATAACTGAAGAAAATGAAGAGGCCCTTTTCACCATCAGCGCAGAAGTCGGAAGGAAAAGATCAGGAGAATCATTGAACACCAGAAAGCAATTTATGCTTCTGTTTCTTCATCATCTTCTTTCTCTTCCGTGGCTGCTTCCTGTTCTTCCTTTTCTTCTTCTAGAAGAAGCAGTTCTTTGCTAGACTTGATGAAGGAAGGGAGCACATCCCTGAGGCGATTGTTCGTCATGGAGCATGCTAGTTTGGCAACACATTTTAATGAGAACAGTGGCTCTCCAGTAATTAAGCCCATCCCTCTCTGGGGCAGTGATGTAGAGGATGGAACTTATGAAGGCCCTTGGAACGATATAAAATTAGGAACAGGGCTGACCTTAGATTCTAGCATCGAAGGCCCTAGCGTGGAGGATGCAAAGGAAAGAGTCATCGTCATACAGCCAGTCTGCCAAGATAGAAGACTGAGAACTCTTAAGCACAAGCTTCCTAGAAAAAGGTCTTTTAGAAAGCTTCCAAGGTTCAGCTTTTGGAGATTCAGAGGTTTTGGGTTTAGATTGAAGTTGAGGAAGATAAGGATTATCATCTGTGGGAGAAAATTCTGATGTCGAAAGACAAGGAAGAATGAAAATTCTCGTGTAATTAATGGCAATGTTGAAAATTACATTAATTACATTTCCTTTCTATATGAAATTATTACAGAGCTTATGGAATCATGAACCAGTACAGGGCTTGAAAACTTCTGCAACTGGAGAAATTTCCGAGTCCATCTTGTGTGGATATCATTGAATCTATGAGAACCTCATCTTTATACCTGAATGAAAAAATCTTAACAATTCCTATGCCAATTAACAAGCTACTTAAAAGCTGAAGAGGCTTAGCCGTTCAGATTAAGAGCCTTTCTAAGAGCTATATATGCGCTTGCAAATGACGCAGTGGGTAGAAAACAATCTTCCCATCGCACTTCCCTCTTCAATCTTCAATCCGCTGCTCATCCTATTCCAAAGGTGAACCCCATAGCTTCTCCGGTTCAGCTGAACCAGCTTAGCCTCCACCCACTTGGAACCAGCTCGGCTATCCGGCTTCCCAAACAGCCTGCCTATCCTAGTCCAACTAACAGGATAAAAGGCCATGGGAGGCAAGACAGTGAAATTACAATTGTGCCCTGCCGAAACCCTCCCAACCACCCTCGAAACCAGGTATGGACCATTATGCCCCCACCGGTACCCATTAAACGCGGACGCGAATTCCTCCATGAACAGGTACAGTAGAGGGTGATTTTTGTCAAAAATTAGCACTGCGTTGTTCAATCTCGTCCAGTTGCCAGACGAATCAACACTTTGCGCCCCAATTGAGTTTCTCAGACCAAACAAATCCTTCAAAATTATAAAATCAGTGTCAAGGTAAACCCCTCCGTACTTGTACAGAACGGCGAACCTAATCAAGTTAGATAGGTTCTGTGCCAAGGGAATCGTGCCGGCGTCTTTCTTTCCCTTCTTGATCTCATCAAACCACGACTCGGCCGGTGTGTTTTTGAACAGGAACGGCAAGTCCGGAGTCACCGGGAGAAGCCTGAACCGGTGGTCGAGCAGGGGCTTCAATCGCGTGTACCCGGGAGCAGAGTCCATTGTTTCTGATATTATCACCAAGCAGCCACGTGGGTGGGCCTTAAATAGGCTTTCCACGGCGAGAAACTCTCTGGGTCCGAACAAACTCGCCGGGGAAATCCATGTCATGAAGAACTGAACACTGCAGCGATGACCTCCCAGGAACTCTGTGACTCGGACATGGAATCCTCTTTCCCGATTCGTGGGCTTCAATTTCTGAATTCGTTTTTTACCAGTAACGTTTGCCAGAATATGGGTATGATCTTTAACCTCTTCTTTCACATAAAGAAGAAGTTGATGGCCTGATCCTGACCGCAAATTTTGGCGGGTATCATGAGGGGGACCGTCGACAGTAATAGATTGGAGGGAGAGATTGGAGATGGAGTTGTTGAGGACTATGATGATTGACAACACCACGGCAAATGAGATTGCGGAGTAGATGGATAATTTGACTCGGCCGACCAGCCGGGAGTGGAACATGTCGGAGCTGATGATTTCACCGGAGTCAGAGGAACTGATCGGCGTTGCTCATCGATGATAGAAACAGAGGACTGGCGGAAAGATTTAATTTCGGAGCTTTTGTGAGCTAAAAAGGGGATAGAATGTATAGTTGGCGTGCTAGCCTTGTACTCGGTGATGGCTAAAGTTTCTCAAATGGATAGCATGAGGTTTGAATAATTCTAAACGTGTTTCTGTTCAGACTTTGAGAGTCGCCAATAACAGAGCTTTGGCTGCTGACTGTGGAGAGAAAAAAATAATTCACGGCAATTTGGAACATGGGTTTATTGTAATTGTTGTTTTCAACGTTTTTAGATAATTAGTTAAAATTAAAATCAAGCCATTATCTTTCATTGAATAAAAATATATTATTTGACTTATTATTGCCACTCATATAAGTATTATTTATGTAATATTTGAAACTCATTAATATAATTTATTATCACGTAATTTATCTTAAAAAATTGGTACATAATATCATAAATATTATCACTCTTGTAATTAAAACGGCAAGAGCCTGGTCGTCACGTTTAGACTATTCGAATAGACAAAGGTCGTGCATGTATCATTTTGATGTTCTGGTTAAGTAGCCGTATGTTTCAAGCAAGCTAGCAGATGAGATTAAAGTCCATTTTCTTATTTTTTTTTTTCTTGACGTTGCTCGTAAAAAATTAGATGAAACTAAATCTATTTTTAATAAAAAATATCTGTATTAATTTTCAATATTTATTTATTGCTAATCATTTTAATATATAGATTAATAAAAGGCATAAAAAATATCTGTAGGGCATATTTCCAAGAATAAGGCCCACGGCCTTAGAATAATCTTTATGAGCAGACCAGGTACGCAATTTCCATGATTCCAATTAAGAAAAAACTACTGAAAAAAAAATGCAAATTCCTCCAATTGACCAATTAAGAGGAGGTTTACATTAATTGACTAATTAGAATGATTAATTATTTTCTAAACTCGGGGTGAAGGGTATTTCGGTCTCAATGAAAATGAATATTTTAGATTTTAGAGTAAAATATAAGTATTGTGACGGTAATACTTATCATCTTAGGACACGTTCAGTTGGGGTGATAAAATATGATAAGATAAACTTATTCTCTTTTATCACATGTTTGATATGTATGTAACAAAATCAGATAAAAACTGTGAGATAGATATGTATTAGCATATGCAAAATGGTGTTACAGGGAAAAAAAGTGTGATAATTTTATCAGCTCTTATCCAACTTCCTATTTTTCTTTTTATTTTTTTACTAAAATGCCCCTACTATTCACATGAAAAAGACTAAATAGGACTAAATTCAGAACATTAACAAGGACACGGATGATGAACAATGTTCACAAGGATATTTTATATAAAATATTTTTTATCCTGCTATCTCCTATCCTTCTGACTAAATGTTAGCAAACATCATATAAATATTATGCAATTCAAATAAAATTATCAGTTTTACCCTATCTAGTTATATCTTATCCCCCTAACCGAACGCAGCTTTTAAAGTTTTAAATGTAACAATTTGCCCTCTTAAGCTTGTAATCACAATTAAGTAATGAAATTAAAATAATTGCTTATATTACCATAATACTCCTTACACTAATATACGATTAGTTTCATAGAAAATAAAAAAAAAAAAAAAAGATTTTTGTAATACAAGATTAATTTCATGAAAACTATTATTTTTTATTGCAACAAAAATTCTTCTCTTTTAAATTGGTTGAGGGTTAAATTTTTGACTAATTATAATTTTTTCTTATTACAATGAATGCTATTATTTTACAAACATTTGCTAAATTATAAATAGTGTGATCGATAATGTAAGTTAATGAGTTATTTCATAAAAGAATGTTATTCTCATTTTTTTATTACAATAAAGAGTGTTATTTTGTAGATTGGTTGAGGGATACATTTTTTAATTAGTTATAATTTTTTTAATTACAATGAAGTCTTTTATTTTATAGACAATATTTGCTAAATTATAAATAATAAACATTATAAGTTAAGGAACTAATTTCATTTTATTCTTTTTTGTTAAAATAAAGACTATTATTTTTCATATTAATTGAGAGATATGTTTTCTAATTAATTATAATTTTTTTAACAATGAAGGTTGTTATAGATAATCTTTGTTAAATTATGAAAAATATTAACAATGCGGGTTTAAACTTATTGTAATAATATAAACAATTATTTTAACTCTGTTAATTGATTTTACCTATGATAACAATCTTGAAGAGACAAAGTGTTACGTTTTATACTTTATAGGGGTAGGCTTTATTATTATAATACTTTAAGGAGTTAAATTGTATTTTACCTTAGATTTTATACCATAACAGTATGACTCAAAGGATAATATATTTTATTGGTGGATTATGAATTATATTTTCTTTCAAAATGGAATTAAAAGATTAAATTATATAGCAAAATATGATTTTATTTGCTCCTAGCCTTTAATTGTGGGATTAGAGACATAGCAATACGCGACGGCAAATGGTGGGACAGCAGAATAATTGAGGATAGACCTTTAAAAATGATTATCATACGGCTTACCCACTTGTCTTGGGGTGCAAATGTCATTTTCTGCTCTCTCTTTCTGCATCGAAGATTACCTCAATAATATTCTTAGACGCTGTTCGTTTTGGGAAATAAAGCAGGATAAAATAAAATTATTCTATCTTATCTCTTTTATCATACATTTACTACATCTATAACAGAATAGGATAAAGTATCTAAGCAACACCTTTATCAGCCTATGTGTGATAATCTTATCTTGGGATGGTATAGGAGATAAAATTTCTCTCACTTTTACAATCAATTTTTTTTTTGGAATAATCTTGCCTCTTCTTTGCGAACACTCTCCTCTGCAAAACTCCCACCAGTCTCTTCTTTGTGAAACACACCACCATCGCCCCTCCCCCCGTCCCAATCTGCAAGCACCCGCTCACGCTGACGCCATATCTTTGAGTGCCTGCATGATCTTCATGCAGGCACCAGATCTGCAAATGCTTGCTCACACAGGTGTCCGTGTGAGCAGGCACTTGGCCGGTGCCTGTGTGATCTACAGGCACCTACGTGAGTAGGCGCCGAATTTGCGAGCGCCCACTCATACAGGCCTTGCAATCGCTGGAGAGGAAAGCTAAAGGCTGTGAAATCAGGGGCAAATTGGTAATTTGGTTCATTATCCGATTTGTTATTTGGATTGCTATTAAATTGAGCTGAACAGATGGTAAAAATATAGTTATTGTAAGGACAGGATAAATTTTATCCTATCAGCTTTTATCTTTACAAGACATCTGAATACTCTCTTAGAGATTACTTTATTGCAATGAGAATTTTGGAGAAATTAATATCATGACTGCAATTCATCATTTATATTTATGTTTAGACCCATCTTGAAATGTATTTATTTAGGACTGCTGCAATTCAAGATCATTATTCAGATTATCCTTTTAAACTTTCAATTTGACAATCACAACCCTATAATTGGGGAAAGCTTAATGTAGTATACAAGGTTATACTAGAAGTTCTAGCAGAAAAATGAAACTAATTTGAATTAACTTGATGTCCAAGGGAACTTAAACCATCCAAACCCTGATATAAGCTTGAGAAATTTTGAAAAGGTACTTGCAATTACAATTTTTAAGACCCCTCATTTTCCAAATTAAGACGATATTCTTTGTTACGTTATTAATCAACCTAATAAAATAGTAATTATTATAAAAAAATTTAGTAAATTAGAGGAGTTATTTTTGTATAAAATGACTGTTTTTTTAATGATGTTTTTTTTTAGGTATACAATGGTTTCCAAAACTGTTGTAATTTTTTTCATTGTACGGTAAAATATGACGGTTCTTGGTAATTGGAGAAAATGTTTGTTGAGTCAAATTTCCAAGTCAAGGTAATTAATTGGTGAAAGTAGGAAAAAATAAATTAGATGAATTTGACAGGGTATTTATCCGGGAGAAACGGTTTAGTCATAGTTTTCAAAGCATGAAAAAGTCTTGATAGTAATTTTTCACCAAATTGCTTAATTTTCCTCGTGAAAGTGACATATTCCTATTAATTATTGACTACAAAAGTACTTTCCTATTAATTATTGACTACGGATCACCATGCTCCAGTCGAGTTCCTAGCATCCCAACATCACACCACACGACACCATCCTCACACAAAGTCAAAAACAGGTACACATACACGTACAAAGTTCACATCTCCAAAATCAGTAGTACATAGCAGCATAGTTCACTAACAGTTCGTAAAACACATAACACGCATTTCGACATTCATATATTAAACACAATTTCACACATCCATGCAGTCATCATGCTAGAAAAACAAGTATGAAAATACATGCATAAGGAGGGTATCATCACTCACCATACAAGTTGAATCAAAAGAGGTCTTAGGTCACTTCAATCCACTCTGTGGTCCGAGTGCTCCCCCACGGATGAATATGAAGTTAGAACCACACAAAATCATCAATAATCCCATCATAAGTACAAAACAAGCTCGACAGCCCAAAACTATATTTAAAATCCATCCCAGCACTTGACACACATCCCGAGACACCACTACCTATCACCGGCTCCCGCGCGACTCACTTAACACTCACACTTCGGCTCAACAACCCTTAATAGTAAAGGACCAGCCTCCACAACCTCCAACCCATAGTAAACCAGTCTCTGAAACCCCCGAACCAACCTAACTTGGTTAAAACTATCTCAAATTCAACTAGATCGGTCATGAAACCCTCAAAATCGGATTCAGAAGGTCCAAAAATCCGAAGAACCACCCTGAACCGGCCAAGAACCTCTCAAAACTAAGCTAAACTGGACAAAAACCCTAATCCTAAGCATCGGCACGCGAATCGAGCCCAGTTCACCTTGAACTGGACATCCAAACATCACCAAATTTCATTACCAGCTAGATTTCATCATGTTGAACCAAGAACCGACCTAAAAACCAGTGAACC